AACTCTTCCGGTTAAGCCAGTCTCTTAATGTAAAATTAATTCCTTCAGGGACATTAACTTTCCTTCTCTTCATGTTATTTTTGTAACCATCCTAAAACTCCCCCAAGGCAAGTAAATAGAACTGGGACAGGGTTGAAGGGTGTGGGGGGGAGGGAAGGAGCAAGGAAATGCAAAGAGAAATGCGTTATCTCTAACACACCATACTAAAACTAAAACATAAACTAAATAACCATTTATTAATTGATGGTGGAAATTCTAGTGTCCAGAATTTGACCTCCCTTACCCATACCCCATCCTGTAATTGAGAGGCCCAGAAAAGCACTTTATTAGTTAAAGTGTTGCTTGGTGAGCATGAAATCCCAACAACAACAGAAGTCAAATCGGGTATAAGGATATTCCAATGAGCCCTGGGAAAAGCCCACTACGCAGCCCTGGTTCCATGGCCAAGACGACTTTTCTCTGGTTTTCTTCTGTTGATGGTTTTCTTCTTCTTTGTCCGAGTTTTCTCATTCAGGGCAACGGTGGACATTCCCTGAACCTTTCTTGCTGAGGCCAGAACATACCTCTGTTTGGTCTACTTTATCTTTCTGTGAGTGTGGTAACATCATGGTATTTGCAAAGGCCCTGAGCCTTTGGACTGGGAGAAAGCCTGTCTTTTACTGTTACGTAAAGACTTTGCATCAGGGCTCCCCAATCTCCAGGCCTCAGACTGGTACCAGTCTGAGCCTATGAGGAGCTGGGCCACTCATCAGGAGGTGAGCTTGAATGTAACACATGTGAATCATCCTGAAACCATCCCCCAGCCCCGGGTCTGTGGAAAAATTGTCTCCCACGAAACCAGTCCCTGGTGCCAAAAAGGTTGGGGACCGTTTACATAATACTTTTTTTTTCCTCTGCCAAAGTCTTTTACTACTATGTGCTTAGCCAATCAAGCTGAGAAATTGTAAGAACACTTACCACATTCAACCTCAATTATAGTGGAAGCCACAGTACAACAGGCAAAAGCTACTGCAACCTGGGTAGATACTGCTGGCAGATGGGTGAAATAGCAGTTATCTGAGTCTTGGGAAAAGACTATAAGTTCAATCCTATTGTATATTTATCTCTACAACATGAGTTCAGGTCAATTAAGCTCTCTACCCATAATTAACACCGCTGTAAAATGTAAATAATTTAGCGACAACCTATGGTGTGATGGTTAAATTGATGTGCCAACCTGAGCCACCAGGTGTTCAGACATCATTCTGGGTGTGTCTGTGAGGGCGTTTGGATGAGATCAGCTTCTGAATCAGTACACTAAGTAAAGTAGACTGCCCTCCCTAATGTGGGGGGGTCCTATCCCCTCAGTTGAAAGCTGACTAGGGCAAAAAGGCTGACCTTCCGGCCAGTAAGAATCAACTCCTCCTGCCTGGCTGTTTGAGCTGGAACATTGGCCTTTTCCTGCTTTCACGCTCAGACGGAGACATCGGCCAGCCTTGGATCCTGGGGCTGCCTTGGATCCTGGGGCTGCCAGCCTTCAGAATGGAACCCTCACACGGGCTCTCACGGCTCCTAGGCCTTCAGACTCAGATTGGAATTACACCATTAGCTCTCCTCGGTTCCGGCTTGCCCAATGCAGCTCTTGGGACTTCTCGGCCTCTGTAATTGTATGAGCCATTGCTTACAAAATAAATTTCTTTCTCTATATACATTGTGTTCATTTTGTTTCTTTGGAGAACCCTGACTCATACAGATTTGGGCACTGAGAGTGGTTGGGAAACAAATACAATAATGAGATCAGCTCGTTGCTCTTACTATCACTGGACAAAATGTAGAAAGAAAAGGGTGAACTCAGGGATTTTAATTCCAGTTTATGTGCTCCATAAATAATCAAGAGCTTCTATGCGTGCTCTGAAGAATATCCTTATCTCCTGTAGCCCCAGGGCTGAGATTGCTAAAAATCAAACCCAGAATCTTATCTTGTGACTGGCTAAATTACAATGTTAGTTGAACTCCCAGACTCACCAGGTGCCCACTGTGAAAGTGAGGGCATTGAATGGGGAAGGCATGCCACAGAGTTGATGTGAGAATTAAATCAGACAATTCATGAAAAGCTTTTAGCAGAGCTCCTAGCATTAAACGCTCAAGCATCCAATAAAACACAGTAAACACAGTAAACACTCAATAAGCATTTTTTGTGTCTGTGTTTCTGCACAATAGGTGGTTTATTTTCAGCTCCTCTCCAATCAGGAAGTGACTCTACTCACTGTAGGAGATTTCACTTCTTCACCCACTAGCCCATCATCAGAAAGAAAATGTGATACAGCCCTGGCTGCTGTGGCTCAGTGGACTGAGTGCCAGCCTGTGGACAGAAAGGTCTCCGGTTCGAATTCCCAGTCACGGTACACGCCTGGGTTGCGGGCCAGGTCCCCAGTGGTGGGAGTGTGAGAGGCAACCGATCAATATATCTCTTGCACATTGGTATTTCTTTCCCTCTCTTTCTCCCTGCCTTTCCCTTTCTATAAAAATAAATAAATGAAATCTTTAAAAACACGTAATGCAGTCACCTCTCACTACCATACGTAATTCTCAGCTTATATATATTATGTGATCTTACAAAACTCTAAAAGGCTAATAAATAAAGATGGTTATTAATTTTTAATTCCCCTTGTTCAATTTTTTAAAAAGAAATTCGGTTGTGCAATTTTTCCTTCTATCCTGCCTCAGTCCAGATCCAAGAAAAGCTGGGCTGCCATGGTGGGCAAAGTGGTCGTGATCGTGATAGTCTTCAGAACAAATGACAGAAAATCCCACTGTCTACAGTGTAAACAAATAAGGAAATGTATTGACTCCAATAACAAGAAATCCAAAAGTTGAGCAACTATGGAAACAACATCATTATAGCCGCAGTTCTATTTATTTCTCTGCAACTCATTTGGCTAAGACCTTCTGTATCGGTTTTGTTCTTGGACTGGTTCCTCTCCTGGCCCCAACATCCTCAGCCTTAAGACAAAACAAAATCCAAAGGGAAAAACTGCCATCTCTTCATTTTCTAAGGCAAGGAAAATATCCCCCCAAATTCCCAAGTGTCTCTTTTAGTCAATTTCCATTACCTTCAGATGTCCCTGACATCTCATTAGCCAGAATGATGTCACATGGCCACGCCTACACTCATCACTGGGTGAAGAAAGGAAACCACCATGATTGGTCTACACCAATTAGCACTCACCTGTGAGGCTGGAGTAAGTCTAAAATTGTCCAAGCACGGGGACCCAGCTGGGTTTTATTAGGAAAAAGGAAGGTTAGGCTACCAACAGTATATGCAACAGAGATTTATAAACCAATAAAACTTTCTACCAGAAACAATAGGAAACTGTGAAGAGCACATATGAAGAATGAGAAAGTTCCCAGTCATGTTTAAAACGTAACAATGAAACATCAGAGTGGCAAGCCTTAGGAGTAAATAAAACCCAGATACTGGGAGGGCTGCCAGGTCCAGAATTACTAATTATTTGTATATTCAAAGGCACATAACCTATTGCCTTCGAGGTAGACTGTCTAACCACCCTCAAAAGGGCATATGGTAGGGTAAAAGTCACTGAGACTCACACATACACATAAATAGGAAGATGGCAAGGGTTCCACATTTAATTTAAATGAGAGGGACTTCTGCAGTAAGCTCAGGAATATCTGGAAGGAGAGAATAACTTAGAGAATCAAAATGTCTGGACAGGTTAATTCAGGAGTAATCTTTGCCCAGGAGTTACAGAAAATACCTGAAATGCGTCAGAAAACAGAAGGGCGCCTTCCCACCTCCATCTTCATTTGTTACAAAAATAATTAGGGGAAATAGGAAGAGCAGGTGGGGCAAACTATGCTGTTTGGCTATTCAAAATGCTAGTACTGGATCATGTTGTTGTTCATTGTCCACTAAATGGACATGTTCTTCAATGGATGCATGGCTCATCCTTATACCCACGGGTACATCTTCATTGTCTAAGTCAGTGTGGTGGTCTCGGTTCCTATGCCTCTGATTGTTCTAGGCATGAACATGAGATATTTTTTGGCCCATAGACTACCAAGCAAAATAAAATAGAAATCATAAACTCACTCCTGATCATATCTTGATGGACTCTCAGAACATCAAGAACAAAGAGAAAATTGTAAAAAGCTTTCAATATAGAGGAAAAAAAACCCCACAAAATAATAAGAATAAGGTTTCCCATTGGCAACCATGGATGCCAAACTAATTGACCAAAGTGCTGAGAGAAAATAATTGTTAACAGCAAATCTTATGTGTATAAAAAAATTACAATTAAAGAGTGAGAGCAAAATATAGAAAGAGGAACATGAATCTTTTAAAATAATAACTTGAGTTTCTCCTTTGGAAAAATAGCCAAATGGATGATAATGCCAAGAATTAAAGGTTATAAGAAACAGTGAGGAGCAAAGAAACTATTAAAGCACAGTCATGTTAAATAATTATTGATTGTAAAAAAAAACCCTGAGCCCTGACTACTGTAGCTCAGTTAGCTGCATATCATTTCACAAAGCAAAAGGTTGTCAGTACAATTGTGGATCAGGGCACATGCCTAGGTTGTGGGTTCAGTGCCCGGTCAGGGAGTGTACAAGAAGCAGCCTATTGATGTTTCTCTCTTACACTGATGTTTCTCTCCCTATCTTTCTCCCTCCCTTCCCCTCTCTCTAAAAAATAATGTTTTTTAAAAAATCAGTAATCTGAAATTAGTGAGGGGCATGTCATGGAGAGAAAGATGTAGTGTTTGCTGAAGTGCTTATCTTTGTGAGCAGAAATGTAAATAAATATATTGATTATATCGCATGAGGTTTTTTAAACATTTTTATTGATCCTTTTTGAGTTTTTGACTTTAAAAAAAATTTATTGTATTTTTTCATTACCACTTATCCCCTTATACCCCCTCCTCCCACTGCAATCACCACACTGTTGTCCATGTCCACAAGTTCCTTTTCCTTTTTGCTCAGTCCCCCAACCCCCTAATTTCTTCCTATAGCTGTCAGCCTGCTTTTTACCTATGAGTCTGTCTCTGTTTTGCTTGTTAGTTCAGTTTGTTCATTGGATTCCACATATGAGTGAAATCATATGGTATCATTTTAAAGAGACAGAAATTGACGAATCAGGAGAAAGTAGATTTGATGGATAAACCTAAAGCTGTTCTTGAAAAATATCAACAAAATAGACAAGTATTGGGCAAGTCAGACTGGAAAGGAAAAAGAGAGAGCGTGCAAATAAACAACAAGGAATATGTGAAAAACTGTAAGAGAACAATGTGCTCCAGAAAATACGAGTGAAAATTTATTGGCTCCATGGTATATTTTAAAACTAGTCAATATGAGAAAGCAAAATTAGTTCATTACTGAATGTAATTCACCACATTATCAGATTGAAGGAGGAAAGCATTATGAAAATTATAGTAGCTAACTCATATAGGAATTTCTGTGTGCCAAGCACTGTTCCAAGTGCTTTAATACATTAATTCATTTAATTTCAATAAATGCTATGAAGACACTTGATTAAATTCAATGCAATTCCTGATTGAAGTTGTGATAATATCTTTCACAAATAACAAGAAGTATTCCTATTCTTCAAAACGGAAGTTAAAGTATCTACTGGCAATCTATGGCAAGCATCACACTTGATGGTGGTATTAGAGCTTTTCATATCAAGTGTCACAGACTCAACTCAAAATAGTTCAAGCAGAAAACATATTTCTACAAATAACTTTGAAGTTCCAGGGAATTTATCTAGATTGCCAAAACCTGGATCCAAACTGGGGTATAAAAGATTATTGTTCGCACTAAGATAGCAACATAATGCTGGTGCATATAAACTAAGACTCAATTCACAAAAATTCAAAGTCGTACAATTTATCAGAAATATTTCAGGTGAACCTATGCCTGGTCCTTTGATTTTGACCACTTGTAGTCCAGTTCATGCAAGATGACTGTGAATAGAGAGAAATCAGGAGAGCCCCCTCTCCTCACCACATCCCTGCCTTACCCTCATTTTTTGTCTCCCTACATTATCTCACTCTTAGCCCTTGCTCACAGTTGGCTTCTGGTTTGTGTGAGGTGTTGCCTGAAGAACTTCTGGATCTCTCCCCAGGCGTGCTCCTGGGCAGCCGCGTGCCCAACCGGGTCCCCTCCCCAGAGCAGGATTAGGGACCTGGCATTGTTCCGTGAAGCGTAGCATAGAGGCGCATAGGGTGGCTCTATGAGGTGGCCTGCCCCAGGGTAGACCAGCATCCTTCCGTTGCTTTTCCCATGACTCTTCAGCTGCTCCAGGGCCTGCTTAGCGTATTCTCTACTATTTGTCGATTGGTCATTCTCTCCTATTATGAAGAGGATCTGACCTTGAGCCTTTTCAATGGGCAACACGCTCTGCTGATTCGCTTTATCCCGGGGGTCTCCCCGGAAGTGGCTCAGGCGCACGGCCCCTAAGACGTCAGTGTCCGTGCGCTCCATAAAGGAGTGGATGGGTAACATGACCAGATCCCTGTACTTGAGTGGAAAGTCAAAGATGGCATTGGTCCCATTGATGCAGACAGTGGCTACCACCTGCTTTAGGAAGCAGGCCATGGCCAGCCCAATCTCTGCACCTTTGCTCACAGACATCACTCCAATTCCTGGCCCTTGGATCTGAAATGCAAAATAAAGGGAACCTGTTACAGGCCATACACTGAAAAGGGTCCGCTAGTATGATGGACAGTCAGAAAATGTGGGGTGGGAGTCCTGGCACTCAGGTCCATCAGCTTCTGTGACTGAGAACACTACCTACTTACCCTCTCTAAGTCCTGTTGTCTTATGGGGATGATGATATTACCTTCCTGGCAGGATTGTTACTGAGGACCATCAAAGACAGACTTCGGTAAAAGCCTAAAGGATCTAGTGCACCAGCAACATTTGACATCACAAGAGCAAGGGAATTTGTTCTCTCCAGCTAGGAAAAGAGGTTTCCTAGGTTCTTTCAAATAATATGTTAGTGTAGTTCATTTTGCAGCACATTCATAATCCAAAGGCTAATCCTAATGAGGAAAGATTTGGATTCTGCCAACAGGCGAATTTCTGTACCCAGTCCAACAGGAAAAGTAGTAGGTGGTAGGAGGTAGGTGGGAATCCTTCCTTCTGTGATAGGCTGAGGGAACAGAGAGGAGGGAAGAGTCTGAGAGGTGAGGGAGGAAAGGACCAGCATTCTGGATGGAAAACAGCAAAGACATAGCCACCTAGTATGTTTCCATTTCTCACAATTGTATTCCTAACATCTTTCTGTCATCAGAATCACCTGGAAAAAAAACTTTTTGAAATTGGAGTTTTCTGAGATCCAATCATTCAAGTTTCTAGTACAGTTAGGCTGAGGAGGCCCAAGAATTTGATACTATAAAATATTTGCTAGGAAACCTAGTGCATAGCCACACTTGGGAACCATCTGCTTGAGGACTGAATAGCGGAGTAAGAGAGAAGGGACGTACCTGGAGATAGGAAGCTGATTAACACACAACTGCAGTATCACAAGTGAGCGATGATGAGAGAACAAACTGCAGCAGTGGCAGGGGGGGTAAGGAGGGTGTGACACATTGAGAAAGATTCCGGAGTAGAATCTAAAACACTTTGGGATTGCCTGAGGATGCGGGGAAAGGGAAAAGGAAGACACCAGACAGGCAATGATGACGAGGTAGATTTATTGGGTGCACTATACACCAGACCCAGGATTTTCAACTGGTGCACCACAAGAACTTTTAAAACATGGAATACCTGACTACTTAGTCAAGGGCACTGACCTCTTTTCCCTAAGATTGCCAAATTCAAAAATGAGAACAGCCAATACAACAATAGCCATCTGGTGAGAATGAATCAAAATTACGTCTATGTTTTGTCAGATTACAAAATATATATATTTTTGGTATGGCGCAGAATTTTATTCATCAGTTTATGTGTGCCATAAGATGAAAAGATTTGAAAATCATACTTTACACATATTATCTCAGTTAGTCCTTCCAAGAAAACTGAGATTTAATAAATCTCAGTCTCACTCAAGGTTACAGCAGTATCAAGGGGAAGAGGGAGGAATTGAAGCTCTTCTGCTGAATGTAATTCCAAATTGAATTTTGGCAATTGCTCTTTCTCGTCAAACAATGTCACAAATAGTTAAATTTGAAATGAAAAAAAAATAATAACTTGAAAACATTTTGTATGGGATTTAATTCCTTTTAGGTAGTGTTTTCAAGAGACAAAAAGGCTAAAAAACATCACACATGTGTTTGTTGATGATGAGGATGATGATGGTGGTGACACTAAAGATGAAGATACTGGTGTGCTCCAGTAGGAAACCCAGCTCTCCGCCTTGAGAAGAGCGAAGGCTCTCCAGGGAGACAAGGATATGAGCTGGGGAGTGAGGATGTCTTAATGTCTGGAGCAAAGGCATCGCCAGAAGGGCTCCGTCACGGGCCACGTAGTTTTGGCACATTACTTCCCCTGACTATGCTTTCTCATCTGAAAAGTGAGGACGATGGCAATGTTATTCATTTCACAAAGTTCCCATGAGCATCCATTCAATGAGATAGTATAGATAAAGTATTTAGCATAGAGACTAACAAATAGTCACTTAATGTTAGTTGATATGATTATTTTACCACTGTTAGGTTGACCGATAAGAAATACAGTCACTTATAATTGAATACTTTAAAACTAGAAAACGGTAAGTTAAACTTAAGTTATGGTTCAACTTAACAGAATGTCAATCTTGACACCTGACCATGTGCTGTTTATCCTTAAGTATCTTTTTTGAATCATTACCGCAAATACCAGTGTTCTGTGGCCTACTGAAGTGAGCTACATCAGCTGATATTTAATTCCTAGAAAAGACCTAAGTTATCGAATGTACAATTCCAGTCCTTATCAAACTTGAATGTTTGCATACGAATTACCTGGGATTGTTGTTAAACTGAGGATGTTGATACAGAGACAGGACCTGGGAGTCTACACTCAAAGGCTCCTAGGTGATGCCAAGACCTCTGGTCCAGGGACCACACTTTCAATAGCACAGCAATGCTTGACAAAGAGATCTAAAATCACCCTTCCTTTCCCTAGCCTAGCTCCTGACACTGAACCCTTACTTAAAGCTTAATTCTGCTCCTGGATCTGAAACTAAAGCGCTAATGCAGCCAAGTCAGGTGGTGCAGCTAAGTCAGTTTGGCTGATAATCCTGCTCTGCTCTCATAGCCCAGCTCTTATTTTGAACTTCTGCATTGCTCTGAGTCTCAGGACTCTCTAATGTGATTTATGCCAGCATTACCCCATGCTGAGATAATCACTGAAGTTTGAAAACATGTCAAGCCTGAGAATTGGTGGCTGATTTGAGATTTGAGATTGGTGGCCGATAAAACACTGAAGAGCCCCTTGTGAATAAATCACAAGCACTTACATCCCTCTGTTATTGTCTTCTTTATGCCAGTAAGCACTGAGCTGACCTCTCATCAACCCCATAGTCCCCCAAGGTAGACACTGGCATATCCATTTTAATTGTAAGCTCGTGTGTCATGCCCAAGTCTAAATAGATTGGTAAAATGGGCAGAACCAACATCAGTGATATTTTTTGTCTATTGCTATAAGGTTGCAAGATAAAGGGAAGAGTATTTTCAATACTAGCTCATACCTTGGGATGAGCTAGTAGCAAGTTGGCAGCTTCCTCAAAATATTCCAGGTCCACCTCCAGCAGTTGTTCGGGCAGGTCATCATAGGCAAAATATGCTAATGCCAGGACTGCAAAGCCACGGGCAGCCAAAAGACTGGCTCGGAATTCAACTAGACCCCCCAGGCCCCCAAACAAATCGATGATTCCAGGGAAAGGGCCTTCTCCTGAGAACAAGAAAGAGAGAAGAGAAGGAGATTAGAAACAGTGAAAAGAGGGTCAAGTGGACAGCACAGTCGAAGAAGAATGAATTCCACCTCCACACACCAATACACAAGGACAAATTAGTTTTCATAGATTGCAAGAAATACTAGTTCTCCAATACTTGGTGTCGTTTGTTTTTGTTTTGTTTTGTTTTGTTTTGTTTTTTTGTCCTATCAACACTGATCTCCTCTACCAACAAAGATTAGTCTCACCTTGGGGGAGAAAAAGGGCTCCTCGCAGGCGGCCTTCTCGGATCTGCACCCGCTGCGTCCCTGGGCGTCGGAACCAGCGCTGCACCACCTGACTGGCTCCAGGCTGCACCAGGGCCGACTCCAGGAGGTGAACCGAGTTGTGTAAGTCCAGAGTGACAGAAAAGGGACTGTTCATCACATCCTTCTTCAGCAGCCTCCCGAAAGGCCTCTCAGGCTTCAGAGACCAAAAGAGGCCCATCGGGTGGACCCCTACGTAGTCGCCTCCTAAGGAAGGATCCTGCTTCAGGTCCAGCTCACCAGCCTCGTTCGCCCTGTAGAAGGCTTTGGACCGGAACAGATTTCCCCTCTCATCCTTCAGAGTCGCCCTGATGGTCACCAGCTGCATCGGAGGCAGGCCGGTGGCTCGGACGTGCACGGGCTCATCAGCAAGGGCACTTGCTGGGGTGGCTGTCAGCTGGGGCATTGGCGGCTGGCCAAGGGACCACTGAGTGGTGTTTCCTGCCCTGCAGTGGAAGAGGAGACTTTGAGCTGGAGCCCTGAATTACGAAGTAAAGGTCCAGGCAAGGCTTTTGTTAGGTCTAGCCAAGTTAGACTCCTTGGAGTCTGTGCACGGTATGCAGAACGTTTGAAGGAGGAAGAGGAAGACGTGCAGAGCCACCCGTTGTTCTCATTTTACCTGGGAGGAAGCAGGTTCAGTAAAAGTCACGGTAAAAGTCTCATAAATAATTAACAATAAACTGGAAATTCAAGCTAGGTCTGGCACCACAGCCTCCTGTCTTATCCATTATAACAGTGTAGTAAATCTTAGTTTTGTGGTTTTAAGTAAATCGAGCTTTAATTCCTCAGTTGACACAATACCCATGTGACCGATTCACAGGGTATTTATTAGCACCCAAAGGGGTAGTCATGATCAAGGGCTTATAGGGAGGATCAGTGCTGCTTTTCAGCCCCCACCCTACCGGGGCTGCAGTTATATAAACAAGAAGTATATTGTGGGTGTGTTTGTTTTTTTGTCTCTAATCCCACCCTGCCCTTTTCACAGTTCCTATTATTTGTTCTTTTTAAGGGAAAATAACATTGTATGATCCTGTTTATGCTTTTATGCCTTTACATGGGAGTGGTAAATGTAAAAATGTTGTTTATAGTTAAGAGACTATAATATACATTGGATCAGCCATTTTTTACTCTGCTCAATCATAAGGAAAATTGGGGGTGTTCCTTCCTTCCTTCCTTCCTTCCTTCCTTCCTTCCTTCCTTCCTTCCTTCCTTCCTTCCCTCATTTCTTCTATACCTATTTCTCAAAGGATTTGAACTATCTACAGACAAACAAATACAGAGTAAAATAAAAATAAAATAGGATCAGGAAAAATATGAACTAGAATCAGAGGCTTTGAACAAAGAAAACCTGGAGCGTGAAAAGTAGAGCATTTCGTGCGCTGTGAGTTTGGCACTGAATTAGTGAGAGCCACGGGAAAGAAGGCAACCTGCTCAGTTTCGTTGTCCTAATTATTCTCATAGAAACGGTTATCAGTTCCTGGGGTGTGTGTGGGGGGGGCATTGGGGGAGGCGGTGGAGTGATGTCTTTCCAAACTTTAGCTGTGAAAAAAAGTCTCGTATGAGACTTTGACAAAGTATGTACTATTTTTTCAATAATATCTTTACACACATTGTGGTAAAAGGTGTTTCCTCAAAAAGCTCAATTCTCCAAGGGATCTTGAGACTTCTTATGGGGGAATACAAAATAAAGGCTTTGGGGTTTAGACTTGTGAGTAGAGAAGCTTCTGGAGAAAAGAAACTGGCTCTGGCAGGGCAGGGACAAAAAAGCGATTTTTGATGTCCAATCTTTTACTGTGGAAAGACAGTCATTAGAGGCAGGCAATAGTCAAGGGCAAAATGCCTTTCTGAACTTACTTTAAAAGTGATTTTTTGCAAAGACAACACCCCAACCCAACCTGATCCTCAATCAACAACCAGGATTACTGACCATTTCATGTACACTTAAACTCGTGGTCAGTGGAACAGTTTTGAATGAAATGAATGATTGTGAATGTTCTGGGAAAGTCCTTGAAGAAGGGGGCATCAGGTCAAATTTCATGGGCCTTACATTCATGTTAGCGAGATGAGACAATGTTTAAAAAAAATCCCACGTCCCATGCAACATTTTGATGCTCTGTAGGTATTTTCTGATCTGATCCTTCCTGTAAGCCTGAGTATCTGCTGTTTCCTTTGTCCCCCTCCAAAGAGATCATGAAGAGGGGTTCATTGATTTCCCCTTTTTGACACATCCTTTCCAAATCTTGTTGTTATTAGTCTCCTTCTCAAAACTTCTATATGATGTATTAGCTCAATATAGACTTTACTTTCAAGTTGAATTAATTTGAATTGCTTACCATATCCACTTTCCAGCATGCATCCTGCGTCTGGTCTACTCCTCCCTAGTGACCTTGCAAAGTGCTCAAGGGCAAGAATGATGTGCTAAAACTTTAAGGATCCTAATGATACACATGTATCATACAATGTACATACTCAGGAGTTAGGAGATTCCTGATGGGCAGGGAAAAAAATAGCACCAAAATGTAATAAAAAAGCTGTGTTTATACAGTGCTTTTGTAATATAAAACATTGAGGTTTCTTCCTCTTTATGTGAGAATTGCCTCCTAAAGCCCAGAGATGGACTGAGGGCAGTATGCAAAAGGACCGTGTTCAGTTTGTTGAGTCCATTTTCATTTCTGGATGCCAAGTCGGGGAGGCTGTTGACCGTCAGTGAGTACTATATTGCAGGGAGAAGAGGATAGCAGACTGATCGTGCTTGCCTCTCCTTCCTGAATTACCTACTCCAACTCCCCTCACGCCTGGGAGAACAAGCTAAGAGAGTAAACAAACTCTATTCGTGTAACAGAAAATCAGAGACAATTTTGCATTCTACGAAATGAATTTTTACACGTGGCAACCTAGCTGCACCCTGACACTTTGCTATTATTGTAAACATTGCAAAGTATGAATGGTATATGAAGAGCACTGTAATAAAAATTGTTTTAGGGGATTTTTCTCATTTTGTTATTTATTATACCACTGTTTTATATTTTAAGAAGCATTTGCATTTTACAAATACATGTAGGGTCCAATATTGTGACTTTTTAAAGATAAATCAAAAATGGAAGAAGAGGATTGAAGGACGAGGGACAAATCTTATAGGATTAGTGATGGAGAATTGCCATCTTTTGACTCATTTCACAAAGAACTGCCAAAAAAAAAATCAGTCCTTACAATGAAGCTACTGATTTATGCTAGTTGGTAATACAACTTGTCCTGCTCCCTGTGTGTTGTCTTTAACAAGCAATTTAAAAAGGGAGCAATGGCTCCAGGAAAATTGAAAAGAAAACCATATACTTCAACCATTTGACAAGTAAAGGAACTGGCTATTTTAAATGGCTATTGAAATTACATTCTCCCCCAATTCCAATTTTTCCTCTAACTGCAAACAATTTTTGAGCAATGACTGCCAGATTCATAGAAGGGTAACGTCTACCACCTTTGGCCTAACACTTAAGGCCTTTTGCAGGGGGATGGCTCTGCCGTAGGACCCTGGAGAATTTCCTCGTGTCCACAGGCAAAGCCTGAACCACTGTATGACTTAAATGTGGGTGGGAGTCCTGTGCTCTACCCAGGAACATTCCTAAGACAGGAGATCTTTAGAGGAGGCTTCACAAGATGGTTTCCTCCCGTGTCTCTCCCTATCTTGTGGGAGGCTGCCTTGAGGAAGTTTTCCCACCCACCTCCCTGGTTGCAGATCAGCATAGGACTTTCCATCTCACTCCCACACTCCTTTGAGGCAGAGCTGCAGGCTCTATGACCATTTTGCTGCAGGCTAGAGTTGGCTACTGGCATCAGGGTATGTCACCACTGTGTGGAAATCATCCATCCCCATTAGTTGCAGGGACAACCTTTGGGTGCATGAGACAAGGACCTGGAGAGCTGGCACCTTTAGCTTCGCTTGTCTTTACTAGCTACGTAATAGGCTGTCTGAATCTAAATGGGGCTTGTTATATCTTTACCAGCTAAATCTGTCAGTCTTAGCCACATGTAACCCCTGGGAGAACTTGACCTGTTCAGAGGAAGGGCAGTGAAAAACTGGCAGAACACCAACTGAGATGCTGGGAGGCAGGAATCAAAAAGATAAAAGAGAGCAAAAGGTCATCCCCAGAAGTTAACGTTACTAATCAAGAAACAAAAATTCCATTTCTTTTAGTAGCCTGACACTTTTCTTTTTTTATCACCAGCACTTTCTCCCCTCTCCTTCCCAGCAATAAATCCTAGAAAAAAATTCCTGAGTCAAGAAACCATCTCTCCATAAATTCACATTAGCTGGACCGTGACTTTTGTAGCCAAGTGAGCAGTAAACCCTCATGGATGTTAAGCAATGGTCGCACGGAGAAAATTGTGCTACCTGCTGAGAGGAAACACAGAGAGCAAAATGAAAGCAGCCTTCCCAGCTGCCCTGCCACGAAATCAGGATGCCAGCCTGTCCTGCGAGGCTACGACAGCCCTGATTCCCCAAACACTCACCCTGAACTCTTGCTAGAAGCCGTCCGGAGCAGGATGGCTTTGGGAGCCAACTGCAAGCAGCAAGCTCTGGGCAATTGCCTGTTGTTCCCCGATTTGTAACCTTCAAAACACCCCAGCCTGCTGTTCAAAGTTCAAGTTGTCTACACAGAAACCATAGGCAGCTCCTTCTTTTTAAGTTTCCAGGGACAGGATTGCCGTTTTATACCGAGAGTCTGGGCAGAGGATCAGTATAGCTGGTGTGACTTTTAGTAAATATGTTTCATAATGGAGTCTCGTATTTCATGACCCAGTTCTTGTTTTGTTTTGGGTTTTTGGTTTTGGATTCGTATTCATTTTAGAGAAAGAGGAAGGAGTGGGAGGGAGAGAGAGAGAGAGAGAGAGAGAGAGAGAAAATGACGTGAGGGAGAAACATCAATCAGTTCCCAATCACAGTGGGGGCAAACGCACAACCCAGGTGTGTGCCCCGACCAATAATCTAACCTGCAACATTTTGGTGTGCAAGACGACGCTCCAACTAACTGAGCCACCCGGCCAGGGCCACATCACTAGTTTTTAAGCCTTTTCCCTTGACTTCTCCTTTCAGCTCTCAGCTCTACTCTCCTTTGCTTCCATTCTTTCTGTATCTCCTCTGAGTCAGTGGCCTCTTAAGCAGCTGCCTTTTTTTAGCACTTTCTAAAAAGGTGAATCCTAAATATCCATCTTCAGAGCAGTGTGGGTTTAAGACTCACTGGAAATATCAGGGGAAAGACTTTGTAAAGTATATGATTATCTAACCACTATGCTCTATACATGAAAATAATACAAACTAATATTAAATGTACAATGTAATTGAAAAATAAATTTAGAATTCTTAAAAAAAAACCTCTTCTACGGAGTCTGCTAAAGATTCCTGAACCCTGCACCTGGAGATTCTGACTTAATGGTTCTGAGGTAAGGTTCTGAGACCTATAACATTTGAAACAGATGTTAATCCATTGCCCAGTTTGCGAACCACTCTTCCAAGGGACCACAGAAGCCCTCCCAGAACCTCCCCCAGGACCTCTGAAATGCTTCCCCCAGAACCTCTGAAATCTGCCCTGTTGTTCATCCTGTCACTCAATGCCCATTGTCAGAACATGCAAATGATCCAACCTACATGTTGCACTCCGTGTTTCCTGGCTGTGAATTCCTTGGGGGAGGGGACCATGTCTTTTAATTTTTGCTTATTTTGCAGTCAGTGAGGTATAGTTAAGAGACTGGTCTCCGCAATCAAACAGACCAAGACTGAAACTCTGACTCTTTCATCATTGATCAAGGTGACTGACCTCAGGCAAATTACTTAACTTTCCTGTTTCAGCTTTCTAATTTGTGAAATGGGAGTGAAGTGATAACATGTATTAAAAGTGAAAAATAAGCCTTGAGGAAAGGGGGCTGAACTTTTGGAAATCATGGAAAGATTGAAATGTCTGGTGGGAGCAGCAGGCAGTGAGGTGCTAATCATGTAGAAAGAGGACTTTAGCAACTGTCAGTAGGTAGGTGTGAACCATGCAGAAAAGACTGTGAAGACTTCTAAGGAAGAAGGAATTCGACTCCCAGCAATATCATCTCTTTCCTGGGCCTCCAGCCTGCTAGTCTTGTTCCTTTCTCTCTCTCTCTCTCTCCCTCCACACACACACACACAACACACATACTTAGGGTGTATTGGCTGGGCCTGAGAATTTAACGGACATAAAACAGATTAACAGGAGAAAACCACATAAATGTATTTAATGTAAGTTAACTTTTTGTGACACAGGAGCCCTCATAAGGAACAAAGACCCAAGGAAATGGCAAAACCTACTACTTTTTATATTAGGTTTAACAAAAAGAAGCAATTGTGGGAGAATAAGTTATGTGGTGAGGCTTCCAGAAGATCCAATTATTTTCATAAGGCCTGTTTGTGTAGAATTCTCTCAATCTCAACTGCTTGTCCTTGAAGATAAGATTGTTACTTTCCTTCTGGGGCAAGGAGGATGTCTTGCATCTGGGAATTTTATCTTCTGCTTTCAAGAAAACAGGGAGGGTCTTACATCTGCTTGTTTTTTTAAGTGCTAATAAATTTTATGTCAAAGAGGCAGATTTGGGGGTGAGGTGACATATTTTGGTTTGCTTTAAAGGAGAGGACAAAAAATAACATTATTAAAATGTCTATACTACCCAAAGCAATCTACAGATTCATTGCAATTCCTATTAAGATACCAATGGCATATTTTATAGAACCAGAACCAATATTCCTAAAATTTATATGGAACCACAAAAGAACCTGAATAGCCATAGCAATCTTGAGAAAGAAGAACAAGATTGACAGAGTCACACTATCTGATATCAAACTATACTAAGGCCATAGTAATTGAAACACCATGTACTGGCACAAAAACAGACACATAGATCAATGGAACAGAATAAGAAGCCCAGAAATAAACCCATATCCTTATTGTCAGTTAATATTTGACAGAAGGAGCCAAAACATACACTGGGGTAAAGACAGTCTATTCAATAAGTGATGTTGGAGAAATTGGACAGATACATGCAAAAAACAAAAAATGAGGCCAGACAACCTTATATCGTACACAAGAATCATCTCAAAATGGATTAAAGAGTTAACTGTCAGACCTGAAACCATAAAAATTCTAGAGAAAAACATATACAGTAAAGTCTCAGACATTTCTCATAGCAATATATTTTCTGATGTATTGCCTCAGGCAAGGGAAACAAAAGAAAAAAATAAACAAATGAGACTACATCAAACTAAAAAGATTTTTTCACAGCAAAGGAAACCATCAACAAAATGAAAAGACTACCCATTGAATGGGAGTACTTATTCTCCAATGATAGATCTGATAAGGGGTTAATATCAAACATTTACAAAGAACCTATGCAGCTCAACACCAAAAGAACAAACAAATGGGCAAAGGACACTTCTCCAAAGAGGACATACAGATGGCCAATAGATAAATACAAAGATGTTCAACATCGTAATAATCCTAGAAATGCATATTAAAAGCACAGTGAGATAACACCTCCTTCCTGTAGGAATGGCAATCAATCAATCAATCAACAAAGAACAAGTGTGGGCAAGGATGTGGAGAAAAGGGAGCCCTCATGCACTGTTCATGGGAATGCAGATTGGAGCAGCCACTATGGAAAGCAATATGGAGTTATATCATAAAATTAAAAATGGAATTCCTTTATAACCCAGCCATTCCACTTCTGGTATTATACTAGAAGAACCCTGAAACACTGATTTGGAAGATATATGTACCCCTATGTTCACTGCAGCATTATTTATGATCGCCAAGATTTGGAAGCAGCCTAAGTATTCATCACTAGATGAGTGGATAGAAAAGCTGTGGTACATTTACACAATGGAATACTACTCGGCCATAAAAAGGAAAGAAAGAAAAAGACAAGTTCCATATGATTTTACTTATATGTGGTACCTAATGAACAACATAAACTAACAAACAAAATAGAAACAGACTCATGGATAGAGAGCAGACTGGCAGCTTTCAGAAGGGAGGGGTTTGCAGGGCTGGGTGGAAAAGGTGTAGGGACTAAGGATAAAAACTCATAGAAACAGACGACAGCATGATGAGTAGGTGGGGAGAGGCAAAAGAGGGGAAAGGAGGGATAAAAGGTGATGGAAGACTTGGGGTAGTGAACACACAATACAATGTATGAATGATTTTTATAGAATTGTGCACCTGAAACCTATATAATTTTATAATTTTATTAACCAATGTCACCCCAGTAAATTCAATTTTTAAAAAGGTGAAAAAAGACACCTAAAGTCAACAGATGGAGAAATAAGACCTACAGTGAACTGAAAGTTTTGTGGTCATTCCATAGAAGAGATGGTGTAATGAAGATTTAATAGAAGTATTCAGAGCCTAGGAAAGAAATCTGTTTTCAGGAGCTATCTTAGTCATTAACTAGCGATCTATGTGACATTGGTAAGAACAGTGATGGAAAAGTCATGTGGCAAGTGAGGGGAGCAAGACTCAGAAAGTGAAAAGTGAAGTCACATACCTGTTTCTCATCTAAGCCAAGCAGAGCGCTAGCACATGGTAGTATGGCCTGCTTGGTAGTTCAAGGACAATTCCACTATATGCATCAAAAATAGCTATTCAGTACATCAGATTGTCGGTGACTATTGCTCATCTTACTACTGCAATTCTGATCATATTTTGGTGATCCTTGTATGATCGATCTTATTAAGAAAAAAATTAGACAATTAACAAGGGCAGATATGCCTTTATGGCAGATAACAAGCACCAACCCAATTACAGCAGAAAGCACATTTTGAGATTCAAAGAGCATATGCAGATTGGAAAGTACTGCAGCAGTATGTTTACCTTTCAAGCAAGTAAAAATTTAGGGCCACTCTTCAAAGACATACAGATTATCTGTCTGGTTAAATATGGTGATATAATAATTATCAGAAGATTATAACAATAAGAACTGCTTACATCTGCTGAGTGTTTAGTATTGCCAGTTATTCTAATAAGCACTTTACCTCTACTATCCCCTTTAATTCTCACAAAAACCTTACACAGTAATATCATTATAATATCATTTAATAGATGAAGAAAGCGTGTAAAAAAAGAATACAGCACTTGAGATGTGTGGGACAATGTCCCATAATCTAACATATGTGTAACTGGTGCTTTAGGAAGACAGGTGGGAGATAGGCAGAGAAGAAATATTTGAAAAAATAATGGCTGAAAGGTTTTCAAAATTGTTGGAAAACATGCCATGATTGCAAGAAACTCAGCAAATCACAAGGAGGGCACACCTAAGAAAACGATAAGCACAGCATTATTGTCAAACTGATAACAATAAAATATAAAGAGCAAATCTTAAAAGCAGCCAGAGAAAAATGGAAACATTACATACAGGAAGACAAATAATAAAATAACATTTGACTTCCTGCCATAAACAATGGGAACCAGAAGATAATAAAATAAATTTTTTAAATGCATAAAGGAAATTTTTAAGAAACTAAAATTCTTTATCTAACAAAAATACACTTCAGAAGTGAAGGCAAAATAAACACATTTCCAGGGAGAAAAAAACTGAAAGGTTCTATCTAAAGTAGAATGGCACTAGAAGAAATGCTAAAATGTTTAAGG